TCCACCAAGTGGAGGAGATGGAGCCGCATCCTCTTTCCTGATGCTGGCTGTCGACTTCGGTGGCCTTCACCAAGCCATTGGCGTGCACGGACTGCACTAATCATTCAAAACAATAATAATAATAATAAAAACAAAAAACATATATGTCCTGCTATATCTTTCATGGCTCGTTCAGATTTTGGGGAACAGATTTTGGTGTCTAATAATTAATGCTTTCTTCTGACCTCTCCACATGATTGACTTGAGTGACGTGGTACGTCGCTATCTTCGATTTGAGGACAAGAGCAGTGAGCGAGATAAGAATGGAACATGCCTGCCTTGAGGCGTGATTAGACATGTTATAACTCGGCTTTGAATGTTGGTCACGTTGGGCTGCCATGAGCCAATATGAGCCACGGACATTGCCCCCCCAACCCCCTCCCTCTCCCTCATCATGTGGTTTTACATCCGCGCGTTAGCCTACGCACAAAAGCGAGTCGTCATGTATCTTGACGCGATCCAGTGTGGAAAGGTCACTCGATTGTCTTCCAACATTTGCGTTAATACAGCTGCGTTTTATTTTAGGTACGAATTAGTCATTGTGAGCAACAAGAATGTGAAGTTTCTGCCCGGAGTGTTGTTTTCTGAACATGCTAGTTAGTTTTATGACGTGATCATGATGGTTGTTTGCGTGACACGACGAGTTGATATTTTATGCTTTGGATGTATTTCGTTTTGGGTTGTCTTTGTTTCTTAAATTTTTTTGCCGTATTGCGTGTTTAACACTGAGCAAACACGTTAGCGCTGCTTGATTAGCTTGTGCTATTTGTGCGACGCTGCTTTGTTCTGTTTTTGGACAAAAGTTGGCCAGTGTGAGAGATCAGTTTTCATAATTGATCAGACTTTGAAACATGGCGCCTTTCAATTTCTTTGTATTATCTGTATGTGGTACTAACTCGTCTTCTTGTTTGATGTTTTTTTTTTTTTTTCATCATGGACCAATAGAACGATCCGAATACGGTTTTGTCTCAAGGATTTTGACTTTTCGGCAACAATTTCGAAATGCAAATGACAGACTTTCAATTTAAGACTTTGGGGAGGGGGGCTTGGTGGAGGTCCTCTAGATGCTGCTGAGTTCATAAAACATCAAGCAAGATGCACGTTAATTCCTCAAGGAATGAATTGCAGCCGTCATGTATAATAATAATGAACACACGGCATCCAGAATTATGTTCTTTTTTTTTTTCTCCTTCATATGGCGTTCACGGACGGAGTCAAACATCCGCTCACACACAAACGCACTGTGGACAATTTATGAGCATTCATAAACCATAAAGTGCACACTTAACTTTCATGGCATAATCAATTAAACAGCGCACTGGCAGCCCTTTTAAAAGGGCATCTTTTGCCAAGTTACTCACATGTTAAAGCCGCTCCTTCGGATACAACGCCGAGTCCATCGTTTGGAATATTTTAGCTCCGAAGACTTCCTGGTAACGATCACGGGGGAAGAACACGGTGCTGTTTTTAGGGCTAATTACTGCTTAATGAGGCCGTTCTCCAATATAATAGCTAATTATGCCAGATTGTTAATCGTTTATTTAGCAGTTATGCGCATCTGCAGAAGAGTTAATCACGTGTCATATTTCACATACATGTCATTTGTTTACGATGGATTTAAAATAGCGTCGTTGGGCTAGCGGTCATGGGACCCGGGGGAAGGTGGAAACGCGGTTTTTAAGGGGTTCTTGAAATATACGTGGGGGGGGGGCGTCTCCATCCTTTCTGTGTACATTTTTATTTGGTTATTATTAGTTGTTGAAGGACGTGGGCTACACCTGTCCAGAAATTGCACACGTATTTATTTTGTAGCATGTCACTCGTATAATCAATCCATTTACAACTCTGACAATGGTTAATTAAAAGTAGGCCGAACCTTTTTTTGTCAAGGCAGAAGTCAGATGCGGCAGATTGTGGCGCAGCTCTTCGTCGTGACTGGCCAGCGGCGGCGTCAGGCCCCGCCCCTCCAGCGTTGAGTGACGTTTCGAAAAGTGCTTGGTGTCTGAAAGTTTTGGCGTTGGCTGCCGCAAGCGAGCGTTCGTGATGAGCAGCTAGTTTACGTCTGATCAAAGAGCTTCTTATTCAGCAAAACAAGAATGTATAATTCTGCAGATTACACAAATGGAGCGGAGCCGAGCGCCTGCCAGGACGCGTCTTAGCATGAGATTAAGGATAACAAGCGCGGGACGCCACTTTAAAAGTGCACTGGCTCTTGTTTGGTCCCTTCACATCCCAAGTTTTTTTTCTTTTCTGCCTTTGACTTAATCTAGTCATAAACAACTTTTTAATACTCTCGCTGATTTTAATAGGCTGAATACGTTAAGGCAGCTTGAGTCTATAGGATCTGGCAAGGCTTCCGCATGCTCGCTCATCCTTTAAGAGTGTTTGGAAGAATCCCGATGCATGAGAGGCGCAGCCACCCCCCCCCCCCTTCAAGGATTCAGATCCAGAATGCTATTAAAGCCCAAGGACGGATGGGAATGTTAATTAGAAAATGCAATAACAAGCGTCAGCCCAGATTAATTGCCAGGCGGCGTTTTCCTGATCTGGAGAAGGCGTGCGGCTCACTCGCGTCCACATAATGGGAAAAATAAATAAATAAATAAAATTAGAAATGGGAGATCATCAAGCCGCAACTCGCAGATAATGTCACCTCTCGACGGGCGACGTGTTTCGCTTCGGAAGCCTTAATCGCCGTCCCTCTCATCGAGGGTGACTTCAAAGAAGAAAACACGTACGTGTGCCACTACTGAATTTTTCACGAGTTCGAGTCCAGGAAACCAGTCACAGGCCAGGAGTCACTTTGGCGCACCACAAAACTACCAACGGCCCCTTTGTTACACTCGAAAGAGTCCTCAGAATTTCTCAGTGTGCATCTGTTTTATTTTATTGCCTATTCCATTGGCCCTTCTTTAAACTTCAGCTGTTCAAAGGGATGTGAAGGCTATCCACTGGTCCGATAATGCTGTCATGCATTTGCGGTATTAGTCCTTGATTTGTTCACTTTTCGGTGATGTCTGTACGCAGATTCTGCTGGAAATTAAATGCAGTCCTAAAAAGTGTTCCTGGGATTCAAATTACGGGCCATCGGTTCCGAATGCTCCATTGACCTTTGAGTGCTCACCGAAGAGCATAAGTCGCAGACTCGTGAGCAGCCCTCGAGTCCTCTCGGCCTGGAGATGGCGGGGGACATTCTTAATGGGCTCTTTAAGAAAGAGAGATTTATTACAATTAACTTCCTAAAAGACCATCAATTATTCAAGTGCGGCCAAATTACCTATCAGGTCCCAAGTCCTGGTGGGGATTCGGAGAGGAAGAAGAGTGCCAATATTAGGAAATACTTTTCAAAAGTCGGACAGGGTGATTTGTCTTGGATTGCATCGCGGCGTCAAAGGAGCGAAGAAGGAATCGAAGGGATTGACTGAAAGTAATGAATGCGACGCCCAAATTAGCTCCAAAATTCTACCGCTGAGCGACGGCGATTAATCTCGGAGTCGCTGACAGAGGAGCCGCGGTGGGATAGTTTGAGGCCACGAACCAAACCAAACTCACAGACGGATGAATTAGGCCCGTCACTCGTTTGCCCGCACGCCCGCTTCGCATCCGGGGACGCATTAGACGTGCGCGGTTTACTTTGCTAAGTGAATACAAGCATCCCGTCTGATGAATGTGTCTGAATCGACGTCGTTTGCCTGCGCGGCCGCGACGGCAAGGTAGACTTTTGGACTGTTGTCGTATTCCGCGAGCCACAGCAACACATAATTAGCCTTGGTGATGAATTTGCACAAGACGGGAAATTGCCGCATTAATAAGACATTATTTTCCACGGAATTGAGTTTTTCCTGTCACGCTTAATGATATTTGCAATTCAACAGCAACAACAGCTCATTAAGTGTAGGTGCCTCCACTCAAAAATGTTAGTTAGGAACATATTAACTCTTGTTAAATTGCAACCGCGTTATTACCACTGCGAACTGTAATCACCATAATAAATTCATTCGTCCATTTTTATTTAGCGCTCATCCTTAGAGTCATGAGTTTGTCTTGCGCTTTGCAAGAGGGGTGGGGTTATACCTTGGGCTGGTTGCCGGCCAATCACAGAGCAGACTCAAGTTTCTTCCAGGTCTGGTTACAATATACCGTATTTTCCGCACTATAAGGCACTTCGGAGTAGAAGGCGCATCTTCAACGAACAGCCTATTTTCAAACTGTTTTAAAATATAGGGCGCACCGCGTTATAAGGCGCATAGATTGAAGCTACAAGAGTGATGGCGGTTGCATGACACATCCACTAGTTGGAGCTACGCTAAAGTGGGAATACAATGCAATACAGCATTATTGATATCGCACTGGCGGTTGCATGACACATCCACTAGTTGGAGCTACACTAAAGTGGGAATGCAATACAATACAGCATTATTTATATCGCGCTTTCACAACCGCCGCAGCTGTAACAAAGCGCTCTGCGGAACATTTAAAATACTACGTCCAAGAAATCAAAATATTGATCCATATACAAGGCGCGTCGGGTTATAAGGCACGCTGTCGGCTTTTGAGAAAACGGAATGCTTTTAGGTGTGCCATATAGTGCGGAAAATACGGTATTTTGAGAAATGAATCAACAGGTACATTTTGGTCATCTCCATCTTTTTATCATCTTTTTTTTTTTTTTAATATGGTCTTTTTACAGTATATTAGAAAATTCCATGACCAAACGGGCTTTCTGGAGCACGCCGTGGTCTCCACGCTGAGCAAAGGTGACGCAGTCATTAAGTCAAAATGACGGTGATTATCTTTCTGAAAAACGCATGACGCTATCTGTGCGTGAAGTTCATTGCGCTCTATTTTCCCTAACCTTGAAGCGGCATGCATCACTATTATTGTAAACCCGAGGACCCCTATCATGTATTCTCTTTTACTCTGCAAGCCTTTGCAACTCAACGTTCTCGTTTTTCCCGCAGGTATCCGCTGTTTGGGATCACCGTCAGGACTACGATGCGCGTTGTGCTCACACTACTTTGCAGCCGTCATCAAGTCCCTCGCTCCTATCCGTAATTCCCAAGTCGTCATTCCAGAAGTGTCCCCGCCTCACCCCACCGCGCCCGCTGACTCGGATACCATGCTCGTCGACCAGGTGGTCCTGATGCTGTGCACCCTGTGGCCCGCCATTGCCCTGCCGCTGGCGCCTGGAAATATCGGGAATGTGTTTGCAATGAAAGAGGGCGACGGCAGAATCCTGCAGCGCTCCAAGCGGGGATGGATGTGGAATCAATTCTTTCTGATGGAGGAATACACGGGAAATGACCATCAGTACGTCGGCAAGGTAACGCGTCCGAATAGATTGGCTACTTCTGGGCGCGGAGGACTTTGATTGGCTGAAAGGGGAACAGACTGTGTGCCCACGTGGTTGCGTCGAACAAGTTCCTTCAAGTGCTTGCGCGAGATGAGCCGTATTTTGTCTCGACCGGGTTAACTCATTCACTCCTAAAGACGCTTTTAAACGTCTTTTCAGACTTGGTCTCGAATTGGCTGGTACTGAATGAGTTAAAAATGTAATAATTCAGCAATCACATCGAGAGCCAAACCAAAGACAAACCCACCGACGACATCTAGTTCGCTCCATCTCTCATCAGACACGAGCCGGGTTAAATCGAGCTCGCGGAGTTACTTACGTTTTGTAGCGACAAACCGAATCCAAATAAAAATGATTATCTCGGTTCCCGCAGGACACATCTGGATCAAGCCTGTTGTATATGATAGAAGTCTACTTTTCAAATTTGTAACAGTGCCGTCTGGTAGGTACTCGAACTGAATTGTTGTTACGATGACGCCGAAAAATTAAAATGCCTTTTCAGTTTTGAAGGCTTTACGAATTTGTATGTCGACTTGTTCATTGTTTTAGATTGGACATGGTGACGGACAGCGGTCACTACGGTGGACAGCCGATCATGTTATCGGGTGACAGGGTGCATGAAAGGGTGAAAGACTTTTGTTTGACACGAGTCAGTTCAGAGAAACTGCAATGACAGAGCAGCTAATCAATCACTTATGACCTATGGATTGCTTCAAAATAAGATTTGTCTGCCAAGACCCGGAAAGCTCCTCTGGCCGGAGGAGACCTCGCGGTGGGCAGCTCGCATTCGATTTTCAGAGTTTGTTAGCGAAACGCGGCTCAGCATCCGACACAGCAAGGTCTCGGGACAATTGCGGTGGTCTTAAAAGATCCCAAGATTGATTCCGTCGAGCAGCTTGCGGCTCCGTGTGGAAATATGAGGAAGGCGAGTCTCTGCGCTTCCTAAACTGCAGCTCCGCACATTTCCCGCCAGCACACCCCCCGCCCTCAAAAAATGATGAGCTGTGGGACATGTGTGCTCCTGCCGGATCAGAGCGGGGGGCTGCTGTCAGCCGGGCCGTGGCTGGCGCAATAAAGACAGGTGTGATGAAGAAGGAAACGCTACACTTATCAACTCCGGCGAGGCAAATGCGGTGACTGTCGACAGCCAATTTTCTCGGAGGAGGCTGCCTTTCATCACACACCTCATCCTCGGCGGTAAACAAGTGTGTCGGGGTGAGCCGCGGGGGGTGTGGAGGGGTTGTGCTGTGCCATATATTTTGTGTAGGGGGCGCTCTGACAACTTCTTTGCTGCAGCTATCACACTGGAAGCACACACACAAATGAATTGGCAGGGGAGGAGGAAGAAGAAAGCGTATCAATCAGGCAGGCGGATGAAATGCGCCTCGTTGTGTTATGTGATGCGGCGGCAAAGTAAATGCCAAGTGTGAGGCGGGTTATCTGTTGATGCGTCGGCTGCCACGCGCCTTCGCCTTGATGTTCCCCCCGTCGCTGCATGACAACGCGGGCTTCGTTTCTGCTGCCCAATATCCTTCATTATGCCGCTGTCAGAAAAAAACAAAAAAAAAAAAAACGCGGCTGTAATGAATTGTTGAGGAAGGCTGAGGGGCGAGGCTGGGGGGGGTGGGTGGCATGTATCACTAATTTCGTCTCTTTGCGGCTGAGGCGTAAAGGGACAGGAAGCACTTTTATGGCGCCTTCTTGAGGGTCAAACTCATGAAGATCATTTCTTGGCAATTGGTCGACGGGAGGCCTTGTTTGTTTCGCGTTCAATCAAATCCTGTGACTCGGCCTCCACGCGCTCGCTTTAAAGGTTAATTTCTTGATTGCGAGCAATCAAATGCCATCGAAAGAAAAAGGAATGCGATGCTTTTCAGCCCCCCTCCCCACCACCCCCCAGAAGTAGTTTTAAAACAAAGAATCGAAAAATAGATACGAAGCAGTATGTACAAAGTAGTTGTTTGACGGTTTGCCTGTAGCATGATTGAATTTGAACATAAATTAATTTTTCCGGCTTTGGCTGACAGGATCGCCCTTATCAATTCGGTTTCGTAAGTATTGCTTGGTCAAGTGAACCGACTCGGTGTTCACGTTCTTCGGACTTGCTCCAACCGCTTAGATTACGACACGTCAAGCAAAAGATTTTATGCGTCAACAGAAAACTGCTAGCGTAGGAACGCGTGGCGGAGGACTGCGGGATGGGGCGCTTGTGCCAAATAAAATCTGACCGCATCTGACCCTCTGCCAAAACGCAAACAAAAAAAACTGACTCACAATTACATAAAGCCAAAAAAAAAACCCCAAAACGCTTTTTTTAAGGGCTAGCATAGCTCAGGCTCATGAACGCTTTTCGGCAAAACGTGTTTCCGAAGTGACACCAGGCAGAAGGAAAAAAAGATATCAATCAGTCCCAGTCATTTCTTTTTCAAAACCTTGGCTGGCGACGAGATCAGCCAATTTCAAGCAAATCAGGAGACAGAATGTTTTTTTTTTTTTTGGAGCACAGGGACACGCTGACATTTCTTGAATTGCACCGAGAAAAGTTCCCCGTGCTCGAGATATCGGCGGTCATTAGTCAACTCGACACGCTGAGCAGGATTCAGAGTTACCAGGGAGAGATGAGCGAGAAGACCCGAGTCACCAATCTTGTTGACGTTCCTTAGAACCGTTTAATATTCTCAAGTGTTATTAAGAATGATTGACACGATTGGATGAGTTTTTATTTTGAGACACACCCTGATCCTTATCTTCCACTCGACTCATGCCGCCATCTTCGGGCGTCTGTTCCTCATTAGTGTGGTCGAGTCGCAAAAAGTATTTGTACTCTTTGTACCCCACTACTGCCTGGCACGTCCCCCCCCTGGCAGCGATGCGGCGGCAGCGCGCGGCTTGGAAAGCGTTAAGCCCATCCGATCCTATTTGAAGTGACATTCACAGGGGCGGCTAATAAGAGCCACGGCCGGCCGTGCGCGGCTGCGGCAGCGCACTTCTAAAGCCGGCAGACACTCGCAACGCTGAGCAATACATCCACAAACTTCACGCGAGCGGGGGAGCAAAATCCCATTAAGGCTCTGGCACCTTCCATTGTGCCCTGCCTCATAAAACCCTTGCCTTCATAAGAATTATTACTATTTCATTTTAGCTGTGTTCCTATTTTTTTTTTTGGCCAACCTTGAGATGTAAGCGGCGGCCCTCGCTCACCACTTGAAAGAAACGGAATAGAAAGAAAGCGGCCGACGGCGACGGCGAGGTCCGAGCGGAACCTGCAAGAAAAAGGCGCCGCACGCACGCCGCAGTGTTTTAACGGCGAAGACAGAGCGAGAGCGGAGCGGGGAAGAGTAATTATTCCGTCCTCATTCTGTTTTCGCTATCTCCTCGGCGCAGCAGCGAGCGACACGGAGCGGGAGGGCTGACAAGGATTGCCAACGATTTCCTTGCTTTGCAGACAATTCTTCAGTGTTTGCGCGAGGCAATTTCACTCATCAAGGCTCTCCTCTGTGCTTGTGTTGCACGGCCATGAAAAGGTGTTCTTTTTTTTTTTTTGCGCTTCTGTTTTAAGCGGAGCCACCGAATGTAAACATTTGATTTTGCTCAAGCGGCGTGGAGACGCTTCATCATGTCAGCATTTGTAAGAGGATGCAACGTGTTGCTTGTGCTCGACGATTTCTTCCATCCTGCCTGCTTGGGATGCGCAACCAAGGCTAGCTAATGTAGCAAGAACACAATACTCCCCCCCCATGTTTGATTTTGGAGACGTTCATTAATTAGCACAAATGTCAAACCCAATGAGTGGAACGACAATCGTTTTACAATTTAGCATCCTACAGCTCTCTCGTTTTTGTGGTTCAAATTTGGTAGCGATTGGTCCAGAGCGCTAGCATAAATTCATCTTTGGCAGGAAACGTCAAAATGGCCACCATCCTTCTTTTCAAGCATTTGTTTTTGCCCGCCTATCGAATTCCATGTTGGTGAAGATACAGAACATTAGGCCGTAAACAGGCTGCCGCCATAACTTCCCATTATGGAAATAAGCCGATGACAGCTGATGGAAAACGCTACGAGCTCCTGTCGACAAGAACGATAAAAATGTTGTCCTGGGTAGTTGATTGTCGCGCGCCGCCCTGCAGGTCGTAACAAGGTTTCGGGCCGGTTCATGGCAAGCGCGAACATGGAAAAGCCCATTTAGATGCAAACAAATTCCCGCGAACCGCTCACCGGCGTAAAGCTGTCACTCACAAGCCCAACCTTCGCTTCTCCAAGGCCTCGTAAATCTCGCGAGTGGAACCTCCGGCCGGCACGGGGCGATATTTTTCAACCCATTTTAATGGCCCAGTAACGGAATCTTTTGATCCCCATGAAGTTTACAAACACATTCCACGCATCTAAACCCAACTTGAACTGTTGACATCAATCTTCTCCCCGGCGAACAAATAATTGGTTTTCTCACAGCGCGGCGCCATTAATATTAACAAGTCGTATGGCGACGTACGACGACATGTCATTAAACGCGCTGGACGAGCTCTCTAAAAATAGCTGCGCGAGTAATAATGTGCCAGAATCAAACATCTGTCACCCGCCTTTGCGAGAAGGTGACGGATCGGTCACAGGTGACTAATTTTAGCCACTGCTGCAGCCGCGGGTCAGCTTCAAGTCGTTCCTCAACCGCGCAATTCGGAAGATAAATCCAATGCGACGATTTGTGAAATATGTCACCGAAGTCGGCGGGACGTTTGAGTATGTCTCGCCCGTTTTGGGGAAGAGAAATTGGAAGTTGTGAGGACCTCTGTCATGACAATGACAACTGGGTACAATTAAACTGAGGTGCGCGTATGTCAATCGGATTTCAATCGGGAGTAGGGGGGGACACAAAAAAGTTCAAACGACCGCCATTTTGATTTGAAGAAAACCTTTGGATGAATGCCAGGGGTCTTTAACTTAACAAACTCCACTTGAGGTATTTGTCCAACTTTGGGAAGGAATTTAGAAGCAGTGTACACCAAATTTTTTGCACATCACCCGCTTCAGAATTTAACCTTTTCAGGGACAGCGGGTACTACAGTGGACAGTTTACCATGTTATCGCGTTACAGGGTGCATGAAAGGGTTAAAACTCATTTTTGTCACGGGCCACATTGTAGTTACGGTTTCCCTTAATGGGCCGTAATGAATTTTGGGAAACCATATCAATGTTTAATCACCTCCACATATTACATGCACGGCGCACAATAAATTGATGGATAACTTGATTTGGAATCAGAAGTCAAGAATGATGACTGTTATTGTGGATTACATCTGACAGTTTGAAATTTTGGTTCAGACTTTAGCGAAATATGGAACTTGACATGCTTTCGAGGGCCACATAAAATGATATGGCGGGCCAGATCTGGCCCCCGGGCCTTGACTTTGACACCTGTGGTTTAAAGTATAAAATAACAATAATAATAATAATTTCAAGATTTTTAATTTTAAAGCTGTATCCTAAGACCGATAAAATGGTTTTAAGCCCGTGTTAGGCTTTAAAATCGGATTTTTGAAGACTTGGTTTAAATACAAGAACGGGAAATTTGGGACACGTGAAAGGGAGAGAATTTCTGTCATTTTTTTTCGTGATCTATGTGGGGGGTGGGGGTGCTCCAAATGCCCCGTCTTAGAATCTTTCATCGCCCCTGTCTTCAGTCATAAACACGCTCCCAGAAGTAGCATTCCGTGTCCTTGAGCGAGATGTGCTAATGTGACCAAATAGGGAGATGTATTTGAGCCTTGCTCCTGCTCAAAAAGAAGAAAGGAGAAGTGGAGCATAAAAAGCTCTTCTGCGGGACTTTATGGGACGTAATGTGCGCTTAAAGTGGCGCCTCCACTGCACCCCCCCCCCCCCCCCCCCACCCACCCCCCAAAATCGCTGCTGCATCGATTGGCTCCGACGTGGTCGTCTGACACAAAAGGATGAATGACTTCAATGGTCGAGTGCTGCAAATGAGTGAAAAGAAATACGCTTAAAAACCTTTTTGAGTGCGGCTTTGAAGCGCAAGTTATGCTCTGCGGCCTGACCGCTGAGGTGAAGTCATCACACAAAGGGCGCTTCTTCTCCAAACAGGAGGAAAAAATAAAATAAAACACGCCAAAATTGAAATATTTCTATCTCTGTCGATATCAAAAGTCCTCTCGGTCTAATTCCCAGCTGCACTCCAACATGGACAAAGACGACGGCACCGTCAAGTACGTCCTGACGGGAGACGGCGCCGGCACGCTCTTTCTGATCGACGAAAAGTCGGGAGACATCCACGCCACCAAGCGGCTCGACCGCGAGGAGAGATCCATGTACACGCTCCACGCCAAAGTCCTGGATCGCACCACCAACGAAGAGTTGGAACCCGACACCGAGTTCAATATCAAGATCCACGATATCAATGACAACGCGCCCAAGTTTGAGCGGGACATCTACTTTGCCAGCGTTCCGGAGATGTCGGAAGTCGGTAAGTGGGTGTGAAATGCACAAATGTTTTGGATGAAGGAGCTGGAGCAAAAAATGGAAGCTTAGATGCTGTTGAATTAAGACACAGACCAGAGACATTCGCACCAAAGTAGCGTAGCAGTGGCGTAGCAATTGCTAATATCGCTAAACAACCAGCATTGGTTTTGACCACAAATCCGAACTAGTATCATATGCAAGCACAACATAGATGGCAAAGAATAGCCGTCGCTAAAAGTCAACCAAAAACAAAATTAGCCTCTTAAATACAAAAAGTCATCTGAGCGACTATTTAGCCCGTTCGGGGTCAGCGGCCACTACAGCTTGTCACGTCATCGGGTTACAGGGTGTGCGAAAGGGTTAATGAAGTACAATACAAGTTGATTTGATGAAGCTCAGTGTTTAAGACAAAAATGAATACTCGCAACAAGTTCATCAAGACGCTCCATTTGCAGTTGCTAATATGACGCTAAAGTCAACAAGTTGGCATCGGGTTGGACCTAAAAGTTTCACTCAAATTAAGATACATCCTGGCAAAGAAAGAAAAAAAAAACAGCACTTTGTGTTAAATTCGTCCCATTTCGACAGACAAATGAAATCAAAACTAGTTCATACTCGATACAGTTGCTAGTGCTAAAAGTTGCTAGTCATCGCGCTAAGCTACATAAAGTGCCATGTCGATAAATTATGAGCTTCTGCTGTTGTTTTTTTTTCCCCCATAAGACTTTGATGAGAATCATTTAGTGTGCGCGTGTTACATTTTTGCACTTTCATAGAAAGAATGTGCAAATGCTTTTTCCGAAATAGAAATACACATTTGAAGTGTTTTCCAGCGGAATGGAGGACGAGAGGCGGCGCGTGTGATCAGCAGTCCATTCGCTTTGTGTTCATTCATTAAATTGCGACGATAAACAACACAAAGCCGCCGCGGTGGCGCTCGTTTATTCTTCATGTGATGCAATATGCAATATTGAACTTATTTGTGTTTGGTCTGCCTCATTAAACATTCCCAACAAGCCCTGTCATTTTCCTTTTTTTTTTTTTTAATAAATGCTCCACCCGCTTTATGTTCTGATTGTCACTCTTTCCAATTAACGATTTGGTTGGTCACACTTATTTCATTCCATTACGAGAATAAATAAACCAAATAGCCTGAATGTAAAACGTTATGCCTATAAAGCATAATTCAATGCCAGATGGAAAAAAAAAAAATTGTCAATTATACGTCCGCAAATGAATACAATTGCGCAATCAGGGGGTTAATCAAAAGCCAATTATCTGTGTTGCAAATAACAAAAGGCCTTGTTTGGTGGGATTCTTGATTGCCGGGGAAAGATGGGTCAGGGTCGAGGTTTGCCATCGGACCGACTAATAAATAGTTGGGATTGATCACCGCGCTTCATCAAGTCAGCCGGCCGTGAAGAAGCGACAGACGTCAGTTCTGGCACTAAGTGGGACAGATGTTCAAGGCTTCATTAGTATGCGGCGAGACTCCCAACGACCCGAATGCTACGCGGCGGCGGAGGTCTCCGGAATGCCAAGGACGGCATTAGCGACGTGGCCTTGTGGAGGATATGGAGCTGCAAAAGGACACCTCTCTCTTTCCCTTACTCTCTTTTTATTTTATTTATTTATTTTTTTTTGCCTTCATTACTGCTCCGACCGTGACATTTCACCGCAATAAGCCCAATAAAATGGTGTTATCATTAAACTGCAATGTTATGCATTGACGACATTTCGAAGCCTGTTAACAAGGTTATTTAAGGGCAAGGTGAAGTCTGGCTGACTAGCGGGATACCTTTTTTTTGGGGGGGGTCACTTTTAACATGCCAAGAAAGAAACACCAGGCGCCCTCTTGTGGCTCCAATGTACACTGCAGGGTGTGTGTGTCATCGCAATGTTTTTTTTTTTTGTGTGTGTAGTTCTGCCAGACAAAAAAACAGACATTCAATGCTGTCTGTATCTTCACCACTTTGCTAACCTCGAACCCACAAAAACGTCCTGCAATTTAACCTTTCATGGTTTGAAGTGGTTGAGTGGGACCAAGCGGCAATTCCAACGTCACAGTTCAAAATCAAGAAACCTCATAGAAATGTTGACGCTCGATCAATTGTCCAACCACCACGCCGTTTCCGTTCTTTTGACAGGTACGTCTGTGGCCACGGTGACGGCGACGGATGCCGACGACCAAACGTACGGCAACAGCGCCAAGCTGGTTTACAGCATTCTGCAGGGACAGCCTTACTTCTCGGTGGATTCTGAGAACGGTACGTAGGAGCGACGCCTTGCCAGTGAAAGCCCCCGTTGCGCGGAGGCAGTCTATAAAAAGGGTCTCGTTAAAAAGAGTGTCACGGAACATTAAACAGCATCCCGCGGAATGGGGATTTCTTTCTCCGGTTCTTAAGCACCGCTAAAGACACGTTTTACGGCACTAACCCTGCAAATCCATCCCTTAAAACACAAAGTTAATTAGGAGAAAGACGACTTAAAGCCGGGAAGTGAATGTGGCAGAGACGTGAGGTTTTTTTTTTTTTTTTTTTTAATTCTTCTCAGGCACCATCAAGACGGCACTACCCGGCATGGACCGAGAGGTCAAGGAGAATTACCAGGTGGTGATCCAGGCTAAGGACATGGCCGGACAGATGGGGGGTCTCTCGGGGACCACCACGGTCGGCATTACCCTCTCCGACGTCAATGACAGTCCGCCTCGCTTCGCCAACCGTAAGCATCTTCTCGTTTGACCTTCAGAAATGATTCAATCCGTCATGGATGCTTTAGAGACGACGTTGCGGGTACGTGTTTCTAGGAGTGCCGATTTAGCACCTGTGTCGAAGAACTCTCCGACCTCTGAACCTCTGCGCATGTTAAGTCGATGATTCGTTGCCGTTTTACTCTTTCGAGATCGCCCGTGCCCCTTCAAACGTAACTCAACTGTATTTATAGAGTGCTTTAAAACCACCACCGCTGTATACAAAGTGCTGGACATGGAGCAAATATAATTCGTGAGAATAAATGAAGAACAAAGACAGTAGAAAGCACAAAAACTGTGCAACTAAAAATCAAAGTTTGAGTCATGCTGAGTCAAAAGTCAAATAATAGGATCTTAAGAAGAACTCCAAAATGTACAGAGAGCCAGAGAAAGGGGTAACAGTGTAGCAGTTATGTGCTCCCTCTTCCGAGTACCAGTCGAGAGGCGAGCAGCAGCATTTTGGACCAACTGGAGACGCTTAATGGAGGATTGGCTGACTCCAAAGTAAAAGTGCATTCAGTTCATGTCTCTTCGGGAACTTGTGAAAATGTGGCAGAAACACAGACAGTTCATGGGATGGTTACAAGACAGTTTTCGGATTCCGCCATGATAGCCTTGTTCGGAATTAGACTCGCGGTCACCGAATTGTCATTTTACAAACCGACTATTCGCGGATTTTGGCGGCCGTCAAATGTCAAAGCAGGTCAAGTCTGACCCAAACGGTACGGAAAGGTTGAGGATCATCTCAGGAAATCACACGATTCGCCGCGATAACCCGTTTCAGACTCCTTCCGCATCACCGCCACGGAATCCACCGAGATCGGCGGCGCCGTCGGCCGCATCAAAGCCGACGACTCCGACGTGGGCCGCAACGCTGAGATGGAGTACAGCATGGTGGGGAGCCACGACAATTTCAACGTCGTCACCGACAAGGCCACCCAAGAGGGCGTCATCATCATCAAAAGGGTGATTTTGTGTTTGTATGGTGTGTGTCCAACTGGAGGCTAGGGGGCCAAATCCGGCCCGGCCACATTTTTTTTCCCCATCCCTTCTTTCAAATTCAGTTTGTTGTTAAAAACGTACACGATAAACTGCAAATGCAGGAGCCGGTTTTGTATACGTCATTCTATGAAGAGGGTGACACTCCGTTTCTGATTTTTCAGTCATAAAAATACTCTGCGGTGACTGTGATGTGTGACACGCCCGTTTTATGCCACTATGATCTGCGCTGAGCTCGCTTTCCATCGGCGAGGAAAGTCTGGCACGACACGTCGAGCGGCACACAGATTAGCGTGCCTGAGACGCTTTAAACCCCACAAGAAGATCTGCTTAATTCACATTTTTTTTTCTCTCCGCTGCCCGACTTTTCAAAATCTGCTCGCGTTATCGCGCTTCCTGGCTGCAATATTACCTTGTCGCCTTTTAAGTTCCTGGATGGCATGAAACTGAGCGTGTTGCCCCGTGTGCTTTCATTTAACGGAACTTTTATCGGCGTTCACGTCTCATAGAGAGTAACCTCCCAACGCACAATCGCAGCGTTTTGGATGAGAGAGCGCCCCGCCTGATAAGCTTCATTCATACGGGAGAGGATAAATGACGGAATTTGCTTTGGAAAGTGACGTATAAAAGCAGCGCTATCCTGGGCTTTTGAAATGAATAATAGAAAAGGAGTCTTTTGCCGGAAACTCATCGTCCGCCCCTAGATCTTCCCGATCAGCATTCCTCACTCCGACTTGTAACTTCCAATTGAGAGCGCGGCCGAGATAAAGGCTGACAAATGGAAACTCCGAAGTGCCTCTATTACAAATCCTGCGGCGAGATTTCTTGACGCTGATCCCTCTCATCCGCAGGCGCTTGATTACGAAAGCAAGCGAGACTACGAGTTTCGAGTCGAGGTGAGGAACACGTACCTGGACGCCAGGTACATCCAGGGTCTGGAGTTCAAGGACTTCGCCACCGTCAAGGTCACGGTGGAGGATGTGGACGAGCCCCCCGTTTTCACCCGGAACCCTTACATCATCGAGGTGCACGAGGACACGGCCGCTGGCAGTTTTGTGGGCGTGGTGTCTGCCCGGGACCCTGACGCCGAAAACAAGATGGTCAAGTATGCGGCAATCGTTTACGCTTGAACCAACATTAACCCTTTCATGCACCCTGTAACCTGATAACATGACAAGCTGTCCACTGTAGTAACCGCCGTCCCTGGAAGTGTTAAGTGGCGGCATTTAAACGACAGGTTTATCTCAGTTACTGTGCTGCATTGAATCATCTCAACTCCTCTGAGCTCATCAGTGCAGCACTAGTATTCATAATAAACATATGACGGCTAATATTGCGGTATATTGTATTTGTACATGCACTGCTCCAAAATTGGTGTGCGTTCTATCGCTTAAACAGTTAAGCCATCACAACCTAGATGCTAATTAGCATTAGCATGAAGCTAGTTCAGCTTTTTATTTTTGTGTGACAGTCAACTTTGACCGGGAGTTTTTATTGCCAAAGTGCTTCTTATTGTCAACCGAGTTAATCTGAGTTGACTGCCACCACACATTGCTCTGTCTGCCTGGAAAAAAAAAAAAAGTTTTTTTTAAATGGGCCAATGCACTGTTGTATGTCGAAAAACTTCAAAGTTGAGTCAACCGTCAGCGAAGTGCATACGGACGCAGTGTACGTCCCACAAGGCTGTGAGTCAGGCATGCATAGTGAACAGCTCCAATTAGTGGTATTGATTGACTCGGCTCAGCAAAAACCGGGAGCGGCTGTCCGCTCAACCTGCATGATCTGAACAGTGGTAGAAAGGAAAAAGAACAATGCATAACAAAAGCAGCAAAAAAAAAACAAAAAACATAAAGCCAGGTGACAAACCAGCCGTCGTAGCCTGGTGGCTGTTTTCTTTTTGGACACGCGACACAAAAGCATTGGCCCTAGATAACGCTCAAGACGCTTGCGGCGTACAATGACAAAACCGTTGTCCCCGGATAGCCTCGGAAGCGCAAGCTCGAGCATGTGTTATTGGTTGAAAGTTTGGTGACAGTGATGGAATTTTTGGGTGGATTGGCATTAGATACTCCATCGATCGTCACACCGACCTCGAGAGGCTCTTCAACATCGATTCGTCAAATGGCACCATTACAACCCGGAAAGCTTTGGACAGAGAAATGTCCAAATGGCACAACATCTCTGTGATGGCTGCGGAAATGAGTACGTCTCTTCACTTTCGCTGTGTTATACTACGAACGAAACCCTGACGATGACGATCCCTTTGTTGATAGACAACCCAAGGCAGGTCGCCCGCGTGCCGGTTTTTATCAAAGTGCTGGATGTAAACGACAACGCCCCCGAGTTTGCCATGGCCTATGACACGTTTGTCTGCGAGAACGTCGAAGCCGGACAGGTACGTAGCGAATACGAAACTCACGGGCGCCATTTATATATCCAGCTCAAAGGCCGTCATCAATTTTAATCTTGCGAATGCCCGACTCTCATGCCCAGCTGCAAAAAAAGTAAAGTTGAGCACCAGTCCTAACTGTCATTGGGCAAAGCACCAAACGAGTTGGCAGCGAAACCGCTGACATTGAGAGAGAGGAAGAAGGTTGTTGTCGTCGTTAGCGCGTTAGCGGCGCACAGTCCGTGTCGCCATCCAAGAGTTGTCGTCGTTGTTGTTCACAGCGGAGCCAAGCGAGAGGCGGCTAATTCTTTAATGAACTCATTTGCAGATCGCTGTGCTTCCTGTCATCTTTCGATCATTTTAATAAGAATAAGAAAACCTTTATTCGTCCCACAATGGAGAAATTCAGGAAAGTTGTGAAAGGAAGAAAGGAGAAGAACTAAAAGTATGGGAGCTGCTCTAAAGGCAGCCATTCTCGCGGCGCCATCTTGACGTCCTAACAACAAAATAATACAACACAACACATGCGACACAATTTTAACACTTAATCCACCAATCTAGCTTCACATTGATCCTTTTTTTTTTTTGTTTTGTTTTTATCAAACAGTTGATTCAGACGATCAGTGCTGTGGATACAGACGAGCCCCTCGTCGGACACAAGTTTGTCTTCAGCATAAAGGCAGACAATCCCAACTTCACCATAAGTGACCAGGAAGGTTTGAAACGTTTTTTTTTTTTCGTCATGTGACGTTTACATCAAATTTTGCAGTCCAGACTTTCGACGACAAGGTTATCAAAAGGTTGCTAATCATTCAGCGCTCTCCACCCACTTCCTGCAGATAACACCGCCAATATCCTGACCCGGCGGGGGGGCTTCAGCCGCCGCGAGATGAGCGTCTATTTTCTGCCCGTGGTCATCTCGGACAACGACTACCCCATCCAGAGCAGCACCAGCACGCTGATCGTGCGCGTTTGCGCCTGCGACAGCCGCGGCAACATGCAGTCGTGCAACCCCGAGGTGCTGCCCTTCTCCGACGGGCTCACCACCGGCGCCCTGGTGGCCATATTGCTCTGCGTCATCATTCTGCTCAGTGAGTTCTGCCGTGCACGACGACCGCCATCGTAAAAAGCTCTCTCGCCAAACATACGAAGATGACAGGCCAATTTTAAATGGCGAAACTCTGAGTCTTGGAATTGTCGTCTCCAAATTTTCCAATAGGTTCCTGCAGGGGGCGCCATAACCATGCGTTACGTTTTTCCCATGTTGAGTTTTGAGTTGTTGGGACGTCGAACTGATACTATAATCGATAAAAATTGATACAAACAATAATCCAAGCTGTCTAGTACACATCTCCTTGCCGTCGAACCGTGTTTCGCACTTGACAAAATATGGCGCTGGCCTCAGCTTGGGTCCTCCTGTCGGACATGAGCATTTTGCGCGCCCTCCTCATGATGTCCCCTCTGTCACGTCAGAAATGATCACAAGGCGCCACTCAAACAGCCACCTTGCACCCGCCGCCCCCATCCGACCCCGTGTGCGCCGCATTGTAATTAGCACTCGGGCGGGAGGCGAATGGACAACCACTCCGCCCGCAGTGAGGACAAAAAAGGTGAAGGACTCGTGCTCGTGGAAAATTCAGAGATTGTTTTTCCACTCTCACTCGGTAAATGCTGACTGCGTTGCTGCTGCCAAAAGAACGAAAAAAAGGAGATTTGAGAGGTTGCGTGCCGGCCAGCATGAAAAGTATCCTCGGAGCGAGGTGCATCTCAGTCAACGCGCCATTCAAAGCGAAAGAAAGAAAATGCTTTCTCACGGAATCTTTAATAACAAGAGACGAACGCCTGAGGCTGTGCGGCGGATTCATCAATGGCAGCAAATGCGTTTTCCCGCTCTGCATTTTAGCTCACTGGCGCTCGCTAATGCCCGCTACGTGTTAGCATGTATGCACTTAACCTTTCCCTGCTTTATATATCTTTTTTTAACATTCATGCGCACCATAAACGACAAGTACATGGGCTAGGGGGGAAAAAAAAACCTTTTATTCAGGTCATATAGCACAGGTGACAAACTTGAGGCTCGGGGGCTGGATATGGCCCGCCACATCATTTTAAGTGGCCCGCGAAAGCAAATTAAAAGATGACAACTTCCATGATGTTTGCTAAGTGTTGATTGTTGGGCATTTCTATTGGATTTTTTATTTATTTGTTTTATTTTTTATTTATTTTTTTAACCACTTAGCCTTTGCTTTCCCCATTGTTTCCGTACAGTGATTGTGGTTCTCTTCGCGGCCCTAAAGAGGCAAAGGAAGAAAGAGCCGTTGATCATCTCCAAAGATGACGTCCGCGACAACGTGGTGAGCTACAACGACGAGGGCGGTGGCGAGGAGGACACGCAGGCTTTCGACATCGGGACGCTACGCAACCCCGAGGTGATGGATGCTAACAAGTTACGCCGGGACATCATCCCCGAAATGCTGTTTTCCTTTCGGAGGACATCACCCATAAAGGATAACGCGGACGTCAGAGACTTCATTAACGGGAGGCTTCAGGAGAACGATTCCGACCCCACCGCGCCCCCTTATGACTCGCTGGCCACGTACGCTTACGAAGGCAGCGGCTCGCTGGCGGAATCGCTCAGTTCGCTGGAGTCGGCCACCACCGAGGGGGACCAGGAGTACGATTACCTCAGCAGCTGGGGACCGCAGTTCAAGAAATTGGCAGAAATGTACATCGGGAGAAGCCCGGATCGACAGACCTAGAAAGGCGCCCGACGCAACCGCTTTGTTTGCTAGCAAAGCCAGCCAGACACACTCTCCGTCCTGCTAGCCCGCGAAGCTAGCAAGTCTACCGTCAGCCTACCTATGTATCAAGCTAATTATCTGTTCATGTCCGATATGCGCTAGCTAGTGCGCTAGTTCGCTAGTTGTCTGTTTTGACTCTCACACGTGCACGTGCTTGCACACACGCGCGTTGAAGGCCAACGGGGATTAGAACTCGACGGTGACAGTCCAGTTCTCCCGAGTTGTACTGTTTTCGGTCATAATAAGTAAAGATGCCTTTTGATCTTTAGGACTTTTTTTTTTGTTTGTTTTTTGTTGTTTTTTGTTTTTTTGTGTGAACATGGTGTGGAAATGTGTTTTGTAACCGAGCAGAACGATAGCAGTATTGTATACTCTCAATGTTTAATGGCACCGGATTGTGTTTGGGGAGCCCAGTCGTTCCAAGGCAAACTGTACATGTACAAAAGTGTTTTTAAAACATTCTATATAATCTTTGCTATTATTTGTCTGACGAGCAATGTCCATGTGAACGGTTGGTGCGGTTAATTTGTCAAACTGAAGTCATTTCATTCTGTAGGCGTAACATGTAACCAGAAAGTGTAAGTTGTAGGAAAACACTGGATTCATGCTGCTTGAGGGCCGAGTCATATTGTTTTATATTTATATTTTTCTACTTATTTTTATAATAAAATGACGAAAAAAAAAACTGCGTACTGGGTTTCTGCTGGCTGTTTATTTCTGTGATTTTTGAAGTCTTAAGAACGAAATCGTCAACGGTGAGAAGCGAGATTGAGCCCGAGTGCCGTTAATGAGGTCCAACAAATGTTGCAACTAATTGGACCTTAGTGGCCAATGCTGAGCTTTAAAAAGAGAAGGGTGGAAAAAGGCGGTTGCCTCTCCTCGGGGTTTCTATCTGGACGCACCATGTGAGCGCATGATTAAGCAGAACATGCCGCTTTTGATGTCAGAAAGGCATTTGCGAGTCACATGGAATAAAACATGACACATGACGACCCCCCCCCCAACCCCCAACGGCAGCTGAGGGATGTCGGAGCAGCAACGCTGGCCCACATTAGCGATAACTTTGCTTGATGAAACCCAAGAATCTTCTTTAACCATCCCTAGCCTACCACGAGAAATTTCCATTTGCTTATGGAAGAGGCCTCAAAGGGTTCAGCGCCAACCGAGCAAACATCACGATAGCTTTTTTGTGTGGGTTTTTTTTTTTTCCAGTTCCAAAGGATCCAAACCGACAACAAATGGCAACGAATTCGGCAGATCCTTCAGTCGGTGGTCCAGGTATTTATTTTTTTGGCCCGTGAGTCCATGGGCATCTGCTCCATCTGCGAGTCACCAAGTGTCCTGACACTTTTTCTACCTCAAGCAGCGTCAAGGTTTTCAGGTCGCGATCCCGCGCGGGACGGTAGCAGACGGCATTTGCCTTCGCACCCGAGCATACGAATGCGCCGTTAAGTCATGTGTTCGCACTGTTCTGTTTTGGACTTTTCCTGCTGGCCCCCACCATCATTTGTCCAAGCGAGAAGCCAAACGTGGATGTGATTGTTGTTTAATTTCTAGCTGTGCATCATCTTGAAACGGCTTCCCACTGCTACCAGATCGGCCATTTTGTACTCCGCTTGAGCAACAGTTGCAGCGAGGGAACATGGACAGAAGCCGTGACTGTGAGGCTTAGTGGAATCCTGGAGTGTCGAGGTGTAAGTAATCCATGACGGCGTCTGTGATACTCGCATCTCGCCTTCATCTTTAACCCAAGTATGAATACAAAGAGCAACATTATTGAGTATGGCCGAGAGTAGAAGCAAAGTAATTGTTTTCCCGGACAAGTTGACTACATTTTTGTGCTTGTGGTTTGTGGACGTCACAAATTCGTGTTAAGATCACAGCAGTGCCTAAATGTAGAAAAGAAACCTTTAAAGGACAAGTCCATCAGGATTGCGGGTGAGCTGGAACCCATCCCAGGTGACCTTTTATTGAGCCTGGATTGGTTGAAAAAGCAAACTGGATGGATGAGTGCCACCAAGAATGGAAATTTCCGCAACGATCTCAAGTGACTTTTTGCTCATCGGCTCGCTTTACCCGCCTGATACTTTTGCCCACATGGTATTTTCGCACGCATGATCTTGAACGCACAGGTGGAGAGCGCAGCCCCCACCACCCCGCCCCGTCGGGTAGCAGAACGGCGCGCAAGGGAGTAAATCCGAACGTTCCAGATGGTCTTGCAGGGTGTGACTTAAAAACCGCATGAAGGGCAACCTGTCCATGGCCGAGGTCAGCGGAAATCGACCCCTTGCCAGGATGATCGCCACGTCGCAATAAATATATAAGACACACCTACCGCCTCGCTCTCAGGGTTCAAGCAGTTTCTGTGAACAGACGTGGCATGAACATTAAAAAAAAAAAAAAAAAAAAGAGCAACACACAAGGCAGCCGATTCCTTTCAGGCGAGTCAAATGACTCGGGAAGCACAAAGGGGGGGAACGCAGCAATGCCGTCTAGTTCCTTCTAATTGCAAGCAAAAGCTCGGCATGTTAATGAGCAAAACAAATTGTTGCTCGTTCGTGGCCCTTCTGGACCATATTCCGCAGGGAAATGTAAGTGGCGAGATGAAATGGGCAAAAAAAAAAAAAAAAACAACAACAAAAAAAACATTGGATGCATATTGCTGCTTTATTTGCCTGCTCTTGGCTATTATTCTGTCAGATTGAATCAAATCCAGGTAACGTATGACTGTTTGCTCCTCCGTTTCTGTCAATTAAGCTCTAATGGACAATAAAGCTCAGACTGAGAGAGCATTTTTGCTCTTCTTACGCGAAAGCCTTCGGGGCCTGGCAACGTGTGGTCTATAGTGAATAAAACATTCTCAATTCCAGCTCATTTCTCCGTTGACTATCTGGCGCCATCTCCTGTAAGATTAAAACCACGACAGGTCCATTGTAGGTCCCCCGAGCATGAAAAAACCCAAAACGAATTCCAAACCAAATCCTGGTTTGAAAGCCTGATTTGAAACGCTAATATAAAAATAGTACAGAAGTGAAACAAATAATAAGCCGAACACAGACGTGAAAAAAATCACTTCCAAAAGAGAATTAAACAAATTTAAATATCCATCTCAAAATTGAAACCTTATTTGAAACCTAAAACCTTCTTAAAACCCTTCTGTCTTGATTACCATTTCTTTTAAAGTCTTTTCTATTTTTTTGTAATTATCATTATTATTTCCGTGCATATTTCATTTGTTTTAAGGGAAGTATTCACGTTCGTTCAATCATTTATTTGTTGTACTACATTCTTAGAAATAAAAACCTTAAATCTTTACTCTTGACGAAGGCTCGGAACTGAAACCCCAACCCGGAATTTGAAGCCCTAACATGGACGGACTCCTGACCATTTTTTTCACCGTGTTACAGTTTGACATTGACCAGCAGAGGGAAGCAAAGCGCTTTGGACATTTTGCAGCTTCATCCGAAATATCACGTAAACGGTGCTCAATGTCCTCCCATTATGCAGTTTTGGGTGTAAAGGTAAGAAATGACAAGGTCACCCTTTACAAGGCAAAAAAAAAAGTTCGTTTTCCTGCACCTGATTTACAACTGCGATGTCTGGAGATTATCTCATCTCTTTTGGAAGGTTAAAAGAACGGAAAATACATTTGGAGACGTAACGGGCCCACACAGCCCAAATAACACCACCTTGGGGCCCGATGAAGTGTTTTCACAGCGGCAGTTTAAAATGACTGACAATTAAGCGCAAATGAGAAGATTAGTACGCTGGTGGAAAAAAGTTGGGCTGAGCCAAACAGGCTGCGTTAATTTTGTACAGTAGTACAATGGTGTTTTTTTTTTTTTTTTAATTCCACCCCAAAAAAAAAATGCCGATCAAAATAGCAACACATTAGAGGGCCCAAGTGTTGATCAAAAACGAGGCAGAAATAAAAATACAGTTTATAAATATTCATTTGGTTTGTCCAACGACGAAGTGTTGGATTTCACAACACCGATGCGCGGAGCAATCTTCTCGCCGGTGCGTGTACCACTTTCAGACGTGACCGTCGCATTAAAATTACGTCACCTCGGCAAAAACGAGCCACCTGTGTTTATCCGGAAGTGTTTGGGGCAACGTCACTCACCTGCTGCAAAGTTCGAAAACAAGCGGGATGTCGCGTTTGTTTCTCCAAAATGCAGAGGCCATGCCTGAGAAATAACTTTCAGATATACCCGCGAGAAGGTCAGAAATACAGCCATTCTCTTACTTTGTCGATAACTGATTGGAAATCAGTCATTATGATTAATTTATTCTCCACTTCATGTTCAACAATCAAGCTTCCAGGAAGGAGTTGCTTCTTCAAGACACTGCTGAACTTCATTGTCGAGGACTGCCAACCCCTCAGCATTGTGGAAAATGAAGAGTTCAAGGAAACTTCATATTGTGCCAACAAGAAAGGTAAGTGTGGAATTTGCACGAAGTAGTTGTTGATAGAGACAATTTATTTCATCTGAAATTGAAATGTATCGATGTGCAGTTGGTTTAAGTCGTAGTCTGCTCTGAGTAGTTTACTTAATTATTTCATGCGACCACTTGATGAAATAAAGTTGAGTAAATTCAACAACAACAACAAAATGTTTCACATGCCATCTTGTAGCATCGTGGGTCCAAATGAACAATGTCAAGCGAGGGGAGACGCTTCATTTAGCCAGGACATACCGCAGGTAAAAAATAAAACATAAAATAAAACTGACTGCCATTTCGTGGCAACTAAAGGCAATTACAAATCGTTTTGCGGTGGCCGTCAATTTCTCCATCCCAATGTGCTCGCTTCCATTTCTTCCCAAACTTGAAAGACAAATCACTCTTTTATAGTCACGTGTCCAGTTAAGGAGTTTTTTGGGTATCTTCCAGAGGTCAGTGGCTGGCAGGCTCATCTCCCATTCGGCGCCTCGGTGAAGCGCCATTCTACTAAGTGTGTCCAAATAGGGCAATTCCATGTTCAATTAGACACAGGGCATTCAACACAATGTCAATGAGGCGCCGCTATGGGCGCGCCATCTAGTTGACAGGCAGTCAAAGAGGTGCGAGATAAGCTGCTGTACATGCGGCACCCGAGGCCACGTCGACCATTGAAATGTGCCGGCGCCTCAGTAAGTCACAGCTGATCGGTCACTGATGGACAAGAGCGGCTCGTGTAATTATGCTTCTATCGCGAAGCCCCGGATAAGGATGCCCGCCGGGCCGCGCAAAGCGCCGCAGTTGTCCTCAGGCAAGAGGCCAGCGAGTGCAATATGGGGGGGGGGGGGGGGAAATAAAAGGGGTGATCTGGCGCCATGTGGTGAGCGAAATATTTCCGAGCGGCTGGTCGCAAAAAGAACGAGAGGCCAAGAGGTCAGGGCAGGTTGCGCGCGCCGATAAAAAGCTCAGTGGTGCTCCCACAATGCAACAGTGGGTTTAGTTAGGCACTTATTTTTTATTTTTTTTTTGTGGGGGGGGGGTGATATTTTATTTGTCAGATTAAAAAAAAAAAAAAAAAAAAAAAAATAACATTGCTGATTTAAACGATTACAATGAAATGTTATTCAACTTGCAGCGACAGAGTAGATCAATGCGCCAATTGTAATTTTGGCTCAAGACTACGTGCTAGCGGTGTTAGCTGCGATGCTAACTGTTCAAGAACAAACTTAGCTTCATGTTTT